CTCAAGGAGTGCTGCATGTCAACTCAGCTCTGTTATGTAGCTCTTGTATTAGACAGAAACTGCAGTGAAGCTGCAAATGCAGCTTTAAAATATTACAGGATTTTTTGTGGATATAGGACTCAGGATAACCACTACCTGCCTTCCTTATTGATGGTGGACTAATGTGGCTGCTTCATTATTTGGTAACTACAGCTCTTTAAATCACAAGAACTTCTTAAACATGTAGCAAAATAAATAGTGTTTTCCTAAAGATTGGCAGAAATCTAACAGCAGGCTGCCATCAAATGGTGCTACAGCAAAGAGATTGGTGGGAGCCCAGTCCTTTTGGCACCACACAGCTCCTAAAGAATGTCAACACTGTCACTGAACCAGGACAACAGCCACGTGTTTTCTTACAAAACACATGAAAAAGCTGCTAATAATATCAAAATTCAAAGACATAAGCTACAAAGATGAACTAAGATGACCTTATTGGTCACCCAAATGTCCAGGTTTTTCTCCAATATTCCAGTATTGACAGTTCCTTCTCTGCAGCTACAAAGATTAAAAACAAGAATGGCACAAAACCTGTATGATTATTTGTGCAATAAAACAACTCATACAGACTGTTCTAAACAGCAGTCACCACACTCGCAAGAAAGCAAGCGAATGAAAGTGTCTTAAATATAACGTTCATGGATCCCTTTAAGTTCTGGCTCTGTACATTCACCATAAAAATACATTACTTGGAAAACACGATGATTAAGAGTCTTCCATAAAGTATTCTGGTGGCAAAATTATAGAGCACACACTATTCTACATACGTATTGATGGACATTTTTCAATTTATTTCCTAGTAGTTTCAGTCAAACACAGAAACTCTCAAATATTAACATATCTTCTATCAGATTTTAAACAAGAAATAGAGCATAAAGGAAATACTTTCAGAACTTAACTCATAGATAGTAACTTAGGTCAAATATCATGGTTTGCATACAAGTAATTTGATTAAGATAAATAATCTGCACTACTTTAGAGCCTGGCTTTATTTGAAGAGTTTTTTAGACTGAATTTGAAGTGCTTCTTTACTTTCAGACTCCTTAAAAGTTTTCACATAAATTTGGTCATTGACATTAAATTTAGATGTTATCTTCAGTTTCTGCCTACTGTACTTGAAGAAGAGTGTTCATACAAAAATGAAGCACAGTTCTTTGAAACAGATTACTTTCAAATAATGAAAAATATTTTAAATATTTTCTGAATTTATTGTAGGCACAGATTGAGACATTATTTATGATAACTTCTTTAACATATTTAAACCATATAAAGGAAATTCTGAATAGGGGAGACTTATGACTGTGAATAATTTAATAGCAAACATTATGATGTATTATTTATGTAGCACCACTGATGCACAAAAGAAGGCTCACACATAATAATGGGGTCTCTCCCTTGAAAGGCAGTTAAAGAACTGATGACATATTTCTCATCAAGGAGAACTTCCAATGAAATCAAATGAGTAAAGACTGCAGAATCATGCCATACTAGAGCCTTAACACAACTGTGTTACACAACTGTTAAAGGTTAACAGTCTGAAACTGAAACAGTCAGAAAGGGTAAAATACATAGAAAACTGAAGAATTCTGCATGCATTTATTGCAAAAGTAAAAAAGAGAAAGAAAAAAGATTTAACTAATAGAGGCTTTATTATAAACACATTCTGCATGCATGTTTGCCTGACTTTGCTGCGCTGCACAACTACACCTAATTTGCTACTCTACCCTTATACAAGGTCACTAGTCTGCTACTATTGCTAGATTCCAAATTCAGGGGTAATGAACATTAAATTGTCTATTATGAACTTATACCTTAAATTTTGCAAGAATTATATTGAAGATCTTTTGGATCAATTTGCTATGGTATTTTTAAAGCAGCCAAACACAAAGCAGATACAGTAAGGTATATTTATTCTTTGTGGATTGTTATTGTCTCTTCATACCCTAGAGACAGCCAAACTCTCCTGAATTTTTACAGGCATTTTATTTTTGGATAAGTGTCCTGCATGTTTTCTGATCTGCACTAAAAATTATTTGAGATGTCTGACTAAGCAATCCAAGAGTTCAGTAGTCTTTAAAATAAAGAGAGCACAAACCCAACATCAGTCTGTTTGGTTTATCATCATTGATCTAAAAGGCAGGACGAGGACATATGCAAGACAAAAACATGAAATAGTCTATGCTTAATGAATATTATATAAAGCATTCTCTGTCCTTATGGAAGACAATGCTACTGTGTTCAAGTTCTGAAATTGGTTACTAGATTTCTAGTAAGCCTTCACCTTAAGAAAATATGTTCAAGAAATTGCATATTCAGAGCACTCACTCAAATTACCAGAATCCCCTCTGGTTTGGACAAGGCCTCAGAAAACAGACAGACACACTAGAACTTCTATGAAATTCCTGAACATTGTTATCTGAGCTGGACCTTCTATGGACAACTTTTCCTTTTTTTTCTTTTTCCTCACGTTTCCTTCAGTTTAAGAATCTCTGCCTTAATCAATATGGTCCCAATCCTAGTTGTGCACAGGACATCTTAGATCTGGATCTGTTTTTTATACCAAAGTAAGTCCTCCCATTCTGTCATATCAACATTTGATCTGTACTCCCAGAACTAAGTTTCTCTCTTCTATCTGGTAGCACTGGGCTGGAATAAATTTATTATATTTCCACTCTATTTTTGCATTGTTAAGATAAAAACCAAACAAATTTATTTTGGGAACAAAACCGCCCGATTAATGATATGAAGCGTAAAAACACAGGTGTATGAAAACCTTCAAAACTTGCACTACAAATAGATTAGAAACGCAAATTGGTAGAAACAAACACAATTATTATCTAAAAATATGAGAGTTGTTGCTGTTACCATATACCTGAATCAACGTAATAAAAATGAAGACTGGTGTGAGGGTGTAACTGACGACCACCCTGACCCACCTTCTGGAAGTTAAGGAGAAAATTCTTCTGACTCAGGTTTGAATCAGGGCTGTAGCTGTTGGGCTTTTTTTAAAACACATTATCAGTTCAGTGTAATGGTTAACAACTGAGTACAACTACTTCTACAAATGCTCCTATAAAAATATGAAAGTTTTAAAGTGTGATTTCCAAATGTAACTACAGTAAGTAAAGGCCTGAGAGGGAGCCTGCAGAAAGTCTCAACAGTAAAAAGCACTGTTATAGATACCTACACTGTAGTGTTTGCTTTTCAAAGTGCACACGTGCGATAAATTTTTCAAGTCTGCAGTGCTGTGCACACATGTATCAAGAAACTAGAACAAACCTTGAAATTAAAAAAGGAAAAACATGTGCAAACAAACTACAGATGTGAAACTTTGTTATAACATGAAAACACTAAACTTTTTCATATACTACTTTTATAACCCTTTAACATGTAGAGAAGTTTTACTAAGGAAGTCCAATGATTTTAACTATTAGAAGACTTGCCTGATAGCTAATGTCTTCTCAAATCTGTACTTCTGTTTAACCCCAGCTACTGTGGAATCTCAATAAGGACTTCAAAGGCAAGCAAGTTATCATGACTGCTATAAATAAATACAAGAACAAGGAGAAAGAACAATCTTTCTGCCTACAGGTCCTATTATTGCCACTGATGAACAAAAAAAGAGTATGGACTTGCTACAGTGAAGCAATTGTTAGGGATAAAAACCATTGTTTTTAATAAACGTGAATTACACCTTTCCTTGTGTGCTCTGGCATACCAGCAGCCTTGCTCACTTTTCTGAGACCACTGCTAATAAAAGATTGAACACAGCTGTATGGACATGGGTCTGTGGCCTGGAATCTGGAGCTGCTGGTCAGCTGAAAGGGGAGACTCTCATTTTGTTTCTCAAGCTCATGAACTTTTTCTTGTCAATGCACAATCCTTTCAATCCTTTCTTCCAGCTCCAGGCCTGACCCAGCCACTTGGGGCCGCCACCAACCTGTTCAGACTTTTTTTTATCATTAACAAGCTGTATTAACTTGGTGGTCATTCTGGGGAAAATAATAAAAAAGATGAAAAAGAATGTGAAAAGTCAGCATAAAAAGCATTCTGTTGAAAGGAACATAATCACTGTGAAGGCTTCAGCATAGAACCTGAATAATAAATTTCAGGTTTTGATATAACTATTACTGCCTGTGAAGAACTCTTTGAAGATAATTGAAACCACTGTGCAGCAATCTGCTTTATAGCACTGACAAATAACAGTTTCCTAAGGCTTATCATTTAAGGTTAGTAAAGGGAGGACACATATTTACTCCATATGGTGCTTAAATGTAATTTTTAACGCATGACCTTATATAGGAACCTCCGCCTGCTAAGTAAAGTTACAGATTTGGGATGTGGTGGGGCATACTGTAAAAGCTACAATTCCACAGAACATTCAGCTATTGAAAGAATGCTAATAATATACAACATTACAATTATACACAATTTCTAGTATTTTGGGATTTAAATATATATTTCATATCTAAAGTGGCTAGAATATATAGGTGGAGATATTTAAGAAGGTACACTGGAAAAACAGACTTAACAGTTCTCATTACCATACTCAATTTTACACTTGGCAGATATTTCCAGTGTGCTTTGGAGAAGGAATGGTTATCTGCAAAATATAATTAGATACAGAGGGTATGGTTGTCATCTGTCTTTAGAAGGATACAAATTTTGCTTTTGGTATCTCAAGGGTTGTACCTTTGACTTCCCTTGGTTCTGATAAACATTGCTAAGCTAGAACAAAAGGCAGTGAGGGCACATGGGGGTGATGTAACATGCATGAACAGAAAACATACCCAGAAGTGAATGCAAAAAACTTGGCATATAAAGAAAGAAAAGGTGGCTTTGATGAGACAGACTAGTTCAGGACTTTACAAACTCAGTTGCACATCTTTGAGACCTGCATCTAGTTTACAGGAAATCTATTTTTGAAGGCCCAGAAAGAAAACAGAAAATAAGGACACACTTCATTTGTTTAAAGGGGCTTGTTTTATTTTTTGTGTACTTGTGGACAGAAGCTTCTACTTAAAAGAACAAAAGTGAAACAAAAAAAAATCCCTAATAACTTCAGGATGTCACAGAATGTTACTTGCCTGTATCAGGTTTTTTATTTACATGGAGTTTTTTCAATGTTCTTCTACTGCAAATTCATTCCAAACTTCTAGTTAAGAGGGTTTTGGCAAGGAATGCTGGAAAAGAAATTCAAATTGAGGAGTTGAGTTTTTTCTCTAGCAAACACTGTACCTTTTATTTTCTGTGCCATAAAGTATTAATTCAGGTATTCTAATCTGAACATCCTGTGTAGTGCTACCTAAGTGGATGATGAGTGCATTTGGTAAGACATCTAACAGAAACACAGGAAATGCCCTTTGGAATAAGCAAACAATTAATCTCTTCCACCATCTTGAATTTGACAACAGCCTGACAGAAAAGATGGAAGTTATGTCATGCTGGTCAATTTGTTCCTGACTCACTGAATACCGAGTCAAAAGAGAAGAATGCTTTGGACTTTAAAAAATTATGAAATAGTCCCATCTACAGAAGGAATATTTTCAGCTACCCTTTTACGAATCTGTTAGCTTCTGACACCACCTTGTTTGGATGCAGCAAGACTTAATTAAGTACAGCACAATGTGAGCACATAGTCACAGTATTTTTGGATTAATTAGCCCTCCTGCACTGCAGTAATACCATGAACACTTCTGCTGAACCCACACTGGTTTGCCAAAACAGCACTAAGTTTAATAACAAGGATGGAATCTCACTGTATACACTGTTTTGATTCTAGAATGAAATTCCTGATGAATAATTAGGCTTCCACAGCCTCTTCTACAGTTCCCAGAGCACTCTAACAGCATAGCTCTGAACACAAGGTACCAGCTCCAAAGTGATAGACAGTGCTGTAGTTCTGTACATGGAACTCTAATACAGTCCACCACATAGACATACATACACAGACACAACCAGAAATAAAAAGTAATTAATTCCAAAGAGTGATTTTTGCTACTGTTTTAAAAAGTGCTCTGAGAGAAATCAGCATTTTCAAATTGTTAATACAGAAATATTACTATATGCTAAAATAAAAGTATTAACCCCCATACCTTTTAATTTTCTCCTCTTGCTCATTTGCATGCTTCTTGAGTAGGTTGTGATCATCATGTGCATGAAGGAACCTGTCCTCCAGTTCTTCTTGACTGATTTGTTACCTAACTTGTTGAGCTTTTATATTCTGTGCAGTTGATGATTCTACCAAAACCAAGACAACTTTAAATTACCTTCAATGCAATCAACAACATATAGCCAACTCAAAACTCATTTTGAAATACCAAATTCCCCCAACTTTTCAAGTAATTTTATATTTTACACTTGTACAAGTCTGTTAATTTTTTTATTTATAGTAATTTTAATCACTTCCTTTTCCCTTCCTCTTACAGATTAAAAAAAGCAATTAAAATTATACAGCAACCTGTTTTCATACTAGACAACACAAAGGAAGCAGTTTACCAAGTAACCAGGTTCTGCCAAAGATGCTATCTCAAAATAAGCATTACCTAAGGGTTCTTTCTAATATATTCCAAAGTTAACATATTATCTTGAAGCTTGAAAATATTAACTCATAATTCTTAAATTTACTCAGATACAAGACTAAGCCCAGGTGTTCCATTCTAATAGCAGCTGAGTAACATAGCAGAATTGCATAATAATTTGGTTCCCATTTTGTGAAATGGATCTGGCCTTGTCCTCAATTCAGCAAAAAAAAATTCCTCTTTTCTTCTGGAAGTATGAATGTTACAGCTCAGTGACATTTTTAGTTTTTAGCATCTCACAGCAATTCCCCTCTTATAACAAGCAACTTGAACACTGAATGGGTCACAGCATCTTTCACAATTTAACCCAGATTTTGAATGGTATTTGAACTTAATTTTGTGAGTGGCAACATCAGAAACGTTTTTAGAAAGAAACTAAAGAAGCCACTGATCAAAGTCTGTAGCTGTAATAAATAGCAGCTGGTACAAACCTTGTAATCCTTCAATTCCAGCTGGAGTTAGACCTGTATGTCTCACAGGCAGGTCCCCCACAGTTACATCAGCTGCAACAGGCACAGCTTATCTAGGGATAACAAAATACAAATCAAATTCCTCTTCATCTGTTATTTAAAGTGAGACTAGAACGAACAACACACCATATGAAATGAAGGCAAAAGTTATGGCAGAAATGACAGACTTCTGAATGCTCCTATCTCAGATTGCTCAGAGAACAATTTAAACTCTGAAGTTCTCAAGTTTAATTTTATGCCAGTATTAATCCATTCACAAGATACACCTTTGTTGTGCAATAACTCCAATTCTATTTAATATGTGTACAGTTAGCTTTCTGAAGTTCTAGCTCTGCTGTTTTCAGGAATCTTTGCACTAAGGCCATATTTCCAAGTGGATGTGGGAAGGGGACCTACGGGTTTTTTGTTTAATTGTTTTGTTGGGTTTTTTTTTAATTGTTTGTTAATTTTAAGAGTGGTAAAAGCTTAAGGCATAAGGCATTGAATGGTAGATGAGCAATGCCATCTTCCATATTTTGAATGAAACTCTTTGAAACAGGTGCTGGAGGTTATGAAGTGTTGCCTGCATTCTCTTAGTCTTCTTTCAATCACTGTCATAAAAGAAATTACTTTTTAAGACAGAAAGTCTCGTATGAGTGATTCTTATAAATCTGAACGTGATTCTATCTTGTGGCAACAGAAAGCTTAGCAACATGACGAAGTGAGATTAGGAAAGTATTAATGTGAAAAAACATTTGTTTTGGTGTAATATATGAACATACTTCTTAACAACTGCTGTTTCCTTCTTGTCTCTGGTGCAGAAAATTACATGTTGGTCACAGAGTCAAGTAATGCTGAAACAACAGGAAAAGGAGAGATGTGAAGTCTTTCAACAGTCTTACTCCCAAAACAATTGTTACACTCTCCAGGTGATATAATCCTTAGTCAATCCAAAACCACCTAGAAAAGCTCTGGGAAATTAACAGTGATGCTACAAGAGACTTGAATCAGAGGCCACAAGCAACATGGTACAATCAGATACCCCATGCAATATCTGTTAATTCAATCATAATCAAAAGTGCTGCCTAAGCTTTTTCTTCCATCATAAATAACTCTCCTTATGGCTTTGTTCTAAAGAAACAAAAGGGATTAATGGAAATTTAGTTTCCAACAAGTCACTCTTGCTTTTAATCTTTTGGTTTTTTCATCACTAAAATTTATGATAAAATATTATTTCCAGACTTCACTGTTTATGAATAAACAGGAACACATTTTTCTTCCATGTGGAACAAATGTTTCCTTATCATGACCACAGAAGCAAACTGAACTACAGTTGTAGACTTGCAATATGGTTGTAGTTTCAATGTTGTCAGTGACAGAGAGTACAACTCTGTGATGTTGATGTCCACACCACTCAGCCAATGGCACAACTGGCAACCAATGTAATCACATATCCACTGGAATCCAGCACCTCAGCATCCTCAATTCTTTTTGCATTGCTCTTACAAAATCCTCCACAGTTCTTTGTAATTTTTTAAACTAGCTCTATCTGCAGTCATTGGCTTCACTCAGGTCTAGGTTCATTATTATGGCTACTATTATATGGCCCTGTACCAGTATGGCTACAGGAACTGAGATCAAAGGGAAACAGACATTTTACCTCCAGAGGATTAGCTAAATTTGGTTCATGGTGGTAGCAAGGAGAAGATGCTAGAAGATACCTTTCTAGAATGTGGTTGTCCTTGCTTTCACAAATAAAAAATGGCAGAGGCTTTTTTTGGGCATCGAGAGCTAAACAAGTATTTTATCAGCATGACTCCACAATGTTTATGATCCATCAAAATCAGGCTTCAAAAACTCCAGAACAGTAACAGGCACAGACAAACACTACTGGTTTTCACTATTTGCTGAAGAAACTTTAATATGGATATCTACCTGTTATCTTCAGTATGAGAGAAATCTACTTATTTAAAAACAGAGACAAAACAACACACGCTTGTCACTCAAATAAACAAACAACTCTTGCCAGTAGTAATCCATTACCAGCTGCAGCAAAACCACAGAAATACTTGAGCTGTAAGTAAACTAACATTTCAGAGATGCACACAAAGACACAAAGCCAATTTTTACTGGCAACATGACATGATTTCGAGTGACAAAATAAAGCAACTTCAAATCTGAAGTGTCCTGAAAACTTAGAAGGTGAAATTTTCAAAGGGAAGAGAAAGGATTATTTCATTTCCATTACAAAGTGTCAGAAATCAAGCATTCAGCTATCTTTTCTGTCCTGGGCCACAGAAAAAGAAAATGAAAAAACCAAATGCAAAAAAAACATATTAATTTGGTTCATCAGATACCGTGGTTCTAGGCAGAAATAGTACAAACATGCCTCCTGGTTTTAGGGAGGCCAAATATAATTACAGATTTAGAATTTGGCTTGGCAACTTATTTGGCTGATTAGTAACATACCCATGTCTTTAATAATCACTAATAACCACCAGTTATGCTGCTGCTTTGAGAGGACACTTCAAACATCAAAGCATGTGTTACATATGTTACAGTTCCTCTTTGAATATTATCTGAGTGTCAATCACAAACACTTAAACAAAATTACTTTTCCTTGCAGCCTAGTTCCAGCGTTATTTCCCAAAGCTTATGAGATTTCTCCACAGCATTCTGTATTACTTTTGAAAGCATTTCCAAAGCGATTACATCTGACAAAAGTGTACATCAACATTGCTACAGAAGTTATGGTACGTAAAAGTACAGCATCTCCAAAAATAAAGCTTAACAAAGTGAGAGAGATATAAATTTGTATTTGCATCTGGACAGATCCATGTGCCATCCTCAACTTCAAAAAACTTAAAGCAGGCTTTATTTCCAAGATAGGATACCCTACAATCATTTCAGCACAGATTCTTTCTCAAAACTAGAGAACACAATGTACAAAGAGAGGAATATTCCCCATATCTCTGGGATTAACCTGTAAGGACTTCAAGTTAGGTATAAGCAAGAATTTTCAATATAACTACTAAAGCTAAAGAAACTGTAAGTCTCTTACACACTTCACTACTTCACAAAAGTGGCTCTATCACCACCTGTATCTGAAAATTTACTACAAAAAAACTGCACACAACTTTGCACTGTTATACAAATCTGACACTAATAAAATTAATACTTATCCAAGCTCATGCTTTAGATTCAGATTCTCATATAACTCACAGAAGTGTACTTTTGTAGCAACATCCTTTAAAGGTAGCAAAACTGAGTGGGGATTACTTAATTTTTTGAAAGTTCTCAGCCAATGGGGCTATAAGTGACTTCCAGAGAGGGGGTTTCTAGCGAAATCATAGGAATTACAACTTAATTGTTTCAACATGGTTTTTGAATTTGAATGTCAGACATGGCCAAGATGATCCTTTTGTTACAAAATCCTACTTCCCCAGTAGAGGGAAGTTAAAAAAAGAGGTGGGAGGGACCACCCAGCTACGTTAGCTTATCATAATGTATTTCCAGCCTATGTTCTCCCTCTACTGAGTCCTTAAAATATACATGTTTGCACTTTATTGGTCTTGTAACCAAAATAATCTCATTTATAATCTGGTAGAATAGACACACATATCATCTTTCAAATGTCATGTGCTGCAGGGCTGTGTGTTTTGGGAGGCAGACAGGGAAAAAAAAAAAGAAGATATGGAAGATGTTAGGAAATGGGATTACAACGTCCTACTGTAGCGTGAGGGAAGAAACATCTCTCAGACCTCTAAGTCCTACTTCAACACAGAAAAATCCAAACAACCGTGTCTTGCCTTCACCACACTTTACAACGCGTCCCACTTTCGATTCGGCCGCGCAGTTGGGGCGGCGGGCAGGGCAGACGGGGCAGGGCAGACGGGGCAGGGCTGACGGGGCAGGGCTGACGGGGCAGGGCTGACGGGGCAGGGCTGACGGGGCAGGGCTGACGGGGCAGGGCAGACGGGGCAGGGCAGACGGGGCAGGGCTGACGGGGCAGGGCTGACGGGGCAGGGCTGACGGGGCAGGCGGGCAGGGCTGACGGGGCAGGGCTGACGGGGCAGGCCCGCAGCGCTCCCTCACGCAGGACCGCCTCCACCGCCCGGGCTGTCCCGCCCTCGGGCACGGCAGCTCAGCTCCGCTCAGCCCTGCACCTTACCCGGTACAAAGCACAGGCCTGCAGGGCTCCTTTGAACCAAACGTGGAGGCTCCCGGCCTCCTCCCGCGGGCACCGAGCGAGGTCTGGAGCCTCCCGGCTCTGGAGCCGTCGCCCGCAGCGCGGCTCCCGCCGGCCCCGCTCCTCGCCGGCCCGGCCGGGGACCGCCCGCTCCAGGACACGACGCCGCAGCCCCGGGCAGCTCCAGCGCCCCGGTCCTCCCGCGCCGTGCCCAGAGGAGGAGAAGCTCCCCCCGTACTCACAGCCCCGCCAGCCCCACGCTCCTCAGCGCTCCGTTAGCGGCTGCCGCTGTTGCCAAGTGGGCCCTTCCCCTTCCGGGCCGCCCCGGGCCTGCCGGGATTTGGAGTTCGGGGCGGGGCCGCGCACTGCCCGCGGAGCCGCGGTGCGGCCGCTGCCGGCGGAGCTGTGCGGGGCTCCCGCGGTGCTGCTCCGCTCCGGGCGGACGGCTAAGGCGGCACCATGAAGAGGAGAGCAGGGGAGCGGGAGAAAGAACTGAAGGTACCTTCCGTTTGCTTCCTGCTCCCCGCAGCCCCGAGGAGAGTGTGTGCCCGTGGCCAGCCCAGCTCGTGGGGCTGTGCGGGGCAGAGCCCGCCGGGGCTCCGCTAGCTCCAGTGCTGGAGCCCCGAGCCAGGGGACTCCGAGGCCGCCGTGGAGCTCGCTGTGAGAAGGAAGAAGCCCCGGCCCCGAGCTCGGCGCCGCGGTCACGGAGCCGGGGCTGAGCTCCGCGTGTGCCCTGCGCCGCCCCGCGCCCCCGGGGCTGCCCGGGCAGGGGCTCCGCTTCACCCGGGGTGCCCGACCCCCCTCTCCTGAATGAGGGGCGCCTCCTGCAGCGGTAACAGGAGCTAGTGGTAAAGCGTGTGCCATCTGGGCAAGATATTTCAATTTAAAAGAGAGTTCTGTGGTATATGGTAAAAATTACGCCAGGACTGTGTGCTTGTTTTTGTCGAAACATTCACAGTGAGGTGATGCACTGTGTAACTGTGCCTAATTCTTAAATTTATAGATACTCTACACTAAGCCTGACCTAAATAAATATTTTTAAGTCTCTTATACCACCCGATCTTTATAATGTTTCTTTTCTTGTTCACGTGTTTAGATGCAATGCTGTTACATACTTACATTGGAGATATTATTTCAGTCTCTGTGGAAGCAAACAGGAGTGCTGAATGGTTGCTATTTCAGGTGCCTTTGAAAGGCTTGTTTTACTACATTGTACAATATTTTACTTCAGCCCTTGATGGTTGTTGTACTTCTGCTGATTTTGTTTACAAAACAGTAGTACTGAGAAGCAGTAAGTGACTTGTTTGAAAGCACCGTACTGGTATTAGAGGTGTTAGTGAAAGGAAAGCTAATTCCATTATAAATTTTGAAAATGCTAATCTCACATACCTGAGCAGGGAACATGCTGGTTTTGGTATTGCTGTTAATTTCCTATTCAGTATAAAATATACTATTCCCCGCAAAGACAAGGAAAAGGTCTGATATAAATTTGCAGCTAAGTATTTTACTAGAAAACTTTAGGGCCTCTTTGTCATGGTAAGTTTCATAACAACTCCTTAAGGACTATCTGGCCATTTTGTAATTTGTCTTTCTGCTATCCCAAGTTGCGGAGGGACAGCAATTTCAGTGTTACATTTGTGTTCTGCCCCTTCCATGTATGTCAAAACATATGCAGATGTCCCATCCAATACCTTGTAGAAAAAACCTCAACCCACCAAGGGCCTTTGTCCTGAATGTATTTGGGAATCATTTTTATTAGGAGAATAATGGCCCTTGATAAGATAATCGATCAAGGATACCTGTGAGGGGTAGAAGGATGGTGCTGTGAGCTACATTGGCAAAGGCTATAGGAGGAAAGGCACTTGAAGAGGTGTCAAGAACGATGCATGAGAAATACTTGAGGTCAAGTGCAAGAGTACTGCTATAGACACAACTCGATGTTGGTGTGCAGATAGAGAAGGATGAAAGATAAAATTCTTACAGAGAGTTTAAAGGTGTCAATGCTTATAGAATGCCGTAGAGGGATGTTGTAAGCTGGGTACTACTTGAGAGAAGCTAAGTGTATTGAAAGTGAAGCAAAATGAGCCTTTAGAATGTCTTAGAATAAAGGCTGCCAAAATAAAAAGCAGCAATGGGAAAAGAAGGGGATATGCTAGAAGGAACATAAGTGGGTTTTTTTCCCATGGAAGCATCCTCATACTGATTATTTTCTACAACTTAATTGGAGATGTAATCTCTGGGCTCCTGGCAGTGTCCCAAGTCACCCTTCAGTCCTTGGGTTTAGCCATTCCTAGCTTATGTTGATCACCTGAGAAATTCTGAAGACAAAGGAACAGTGTCTTTATTGTGGTAGTTCTGCCAAGACTTCCATTTAGGTACTGATTAAAATACTTTTTAGAAAACCAAATATGAGTGAGGTTAACCCAACTTCTTCAGGAGAGTAAAATTTATGAGGCCTACTACTGAGAGGGAAGTGGTTGGGTAAAGAAGCTGGTTTAGATTATGTGTCTTCTGGCAAAGTCTCTTGTTTTCCAGAATTAAATCCTGAATAAAAGTTCTTGTTTTGCTATAATTGTGTACAGTTAAATGCTGTCTATCAGAATCCCACTGATAGCTTTTGCTTTGTAATTATGTAGTACGTTTCTTATATGTGATAAACTTTTCTCTGGCTCAAATTTTCTTGCATATAGCATATTTTGATTTATGCTGTTATAGAAGAGCATTTCTGTTCCAAGTACATGTGGTAGAAGTTCTGTAGAGTGCAGTGCTGTCATACAGCAATTTCCACTTTGCAGATCACTCAGTTGGGTTGAGTAAGATTAAATGTGTAGCAGAAGTGAAATTCTTTGTGCTAGTGATCGGTGTTCCAAGACAAGAGGAGGATGCAAATTCATTCTTGGGATAAGAGTCTGAAAGAAAAGTAGGAAAACGATAGCCAGAAGTTAACTACTCATCTGTTTTAAACACCATATGGGGCATTGCTAATGTCCTGTAGACTATTTCTCTTGAGGCTTAAGTGGACAGCAAAACACAACTACTCTGAAGTTTTTAGATACCTTTGGAGCTGTTGCAAGCCATCAGCTACTCTGGCCTTTCCCATAGCAAATATTACTTCTGTGCATAAAACCAGAACTGTTAGAGTAGATGTTGCCCATTAGCTGAAAAGGCATTTTTATGAAACAGTCTATTGCAGAGTTATTCATGCTTATTTGTTTTAGCTTAGAATTCCATTTCAATAATACAGTTTATAGTTATTTTGATTATTTGTTCTTTACACTGTTGGTCAGAGTTGGTCACTTCTTTTTCACTGGGTGAGAAATGTACCATGCAAAGTAAAACCAAACAAACTTCCAATTTGGTGATCTAAGTAGGCTATTTTCTCATTTTAGATTTGGGAAGAAAGCTTTTTGCTTTTAGAATGCTTATTATCTTGATTGATGAATTAAAAAAATTAATATTTAATATAAGACTTAATGTTCTTGAGACTTTTTTATTCAAAGTGGACTCTTAAAGTAAGTTTCAGTATGAGAGTGGCCAACTTCTAATTATTTCCTGTGTATGCTTCCTCTGTCACTCTTTGCATGTTAACACCCTGTGCCATTACCAAGTGAAAGAGAAGATACTCAGCTAGTGTGGAGTATTATTTTCTTTTAACGTAAAGGTATTATACCTTGATGGGTCTTTGAAATAGACCACTAAAGCCAGTTCACAATTACCTTATGTAGCTGTTTATGCTAATTCACATTACTATGAATACTGACTGCAGAGAATGTATTCCACAGACACTACTGTTATGTTTGTACAGCTCCCAGCACAGCTGGGACCCCAGTTCAGTAAATTTATTGCTGTACAAATAATAAATGCATCAATGTGCACATATCTGAATATTCACAGGGGCTTTTACAAAGACATTCATATGCAGTATCACATTTGTGAGACATGTTGGACAAAGTGGCAAGGAAATATAAAGCTTTAAATAACACAAAGCTTTGTATGTATTTTATTTACAAGGAGAAAACGGGAATATACTGAGTTTTGGTTGAGATATCATTGAAGGTCTTATTTCCTGAATCATCCTCATCTTTGCTGCCTGCAAAATAATACATCTTTACAAGGTAAAATAGGTTGCTTCAACATATTAATGCTCAAGGAAAATTAGACAAGTATTCTCAAAGCATGATTGAGGGTTTGGTTTTAGAATGAATGCTGAAAGATGGTGCCCGTACCATACAATGAAGTTTAAAAACTTTAACGTTACCATGGTTTGTTCTAATATGACAATGATTTATTGGTTCCAGTTATTGTTCTACCTCTTAAGATAAAAAACATTATTAAAAAGAGTGAAACAAAACAAAATTTTCTAATTGACAGATTAGATTATTTTAGAGATTGTATTTAGGAAAATTAATGAAACAGCTTAGATGCAGTTAAATAAGCTTCTTGTCATGTCATATTTCTGCTTAGGTAAATGGTGTGCAGGTTTTAGCAGAATCAGCAACCAATATGCCAGTAGCAATTTTTGTGGTAATCACATTATTGGACCTTCCCATTATTAATGGGACAATAATTAAGAAATAGTGTTGATAGTCACATCACACATGATTTGTATATTGGAAATGGTCGGGTAGAAGCCTTGCATATGCAGAATAAAATACAAAAAAGAATGAGTGGCAAATGTTTCTTGCTTTTTAAATTCATCACATTCCTGCTGTTTGAATTGCCTCAGCTGCTAATGCTGGAACCATTACAGTAATGGACTCGGCAAATGAAGGAGAACCGAGACACACACTTTATTACTGGAGGGGTAATTTTCTCTTCATCTGTAATAGCAGCAGTGCCTAGTATTGATCAGACCATCAAGATACTAATCCTCTGTAAAATTACTTGTTATAACTGAAAATGTGTTAATCCAAATCAGTCTGTGTCCTGACTTTCTACTTACTATTGAATACAGACTATTAGATGTGGTTTTTTTGTGATTTAAAGCCTTTACATCAATAATAGTCAGAGCTTCTTTTGCAAGAGAATGTGCTTAATCTTAGCTATGGCCCAGGGTTGTCTTTTTGTTTTAACTAGAACATCACCCACTTAATTAAGAAGTGCATGTCTATCTTTCTGCTTGGAATTATATTGGTACTTTAGACTCTGCAGATTTACTGAATGTTGTTTTACATTCAGTGACTTGTTTTTTGCTGTAAATAAGGACAGATCTATGGTTCACATAGTGGAATCTACAAAGATCTTGGAGCTAAGGATGTAAGGAAAATGGCTGTTCAAAACACCAATTTGGATTTTGTGGATGGGAGTAGTGTTAGGGAAGTTCAATGCCAAGGATCTAAAGGTCTTAGTTTACTTCTATCCTTTGACCCATTACATGAGACAGTGGTATGGTGGGCTGTGTGTGTTCTGAATATAGGAAGGCTTCTTTTTGTCTTATTTTTTCCCTCTGTTTTGTCTATTTTTTCATAGTCTTGTATGTATAAAATGGAAGCTCACGT